CTTATTTGTCCATTTGGTTCGGTTTATCATGAAGTGGAAACAGATTATTTTTCCAAGAATAAATTTGCTTGCCAACAATTTTCCCGTTTCTGTCATGGTAGCTCGTGTTAATACTTCTGTGCATAGTACTATGTTCCGCCTACTATGCGCCCCTTGTCATTACACTCTTGCGAAGACTCACAGTTGATTGTTTTTGGACCTAAAATGTACGACAAAGTGCGAGGTTTAATCGAAAGATATTTCATGTGTTTTGTGTCTGGCGGGTGTGTGTGTGTGGCTGGGGATAAGAATGGTACTGTAATAAGAAAATTGTTTATTCACAGTTCCCGGTCTAGCTTGGGTTTGTGAACAGAACCTCACACAACGGAGGTGTATTTTATTTTTTCACAACGATCCAGAGGTCAGACTATTTCTGTTTCGGAATAACTTGAAACAAGTTATCTGATTTTGCTGGCAGTGAACTCACGTTTTGTATCTTTCTAATATCCTAATGTTTTGATCCGATTCGTCAGTCTATACAGTTTCCCTTTGTCAGTCCGGGCAATTCTGATTTTTGTATAGGTGGGTTGTTTTTCATTTTTCATTTACTCGATATAGCACAACCCATCGTTGCGAGCTTGTTGCGGGCCACAGACTCTGCTCATCTCAGCACTAGCCTCCAGTTGGAAACATTTACAACCTGACTATTTATTTCATGTAGTTGTATTTGTATAACTTGTGTAAGCGTATATGCTTATGTTCATTTGAGGCCTGTTCGTTTTTGGTAAACAGTCGGACTAGGTAGGGTACAGGGGAATTTTTTTAAATTTTGATCCAAGAGGGTAGCTGTCGAAATGAGGAGCGTGTGGATGGATGGGAACGACAAGACGATAGATCAGGATGTAGTGGGTGAAGAGGGTCATCTAGAACCTTATGAGCAAATTTAAAACAAGAGTTGATGTGTCCATCAATGAGATCTGTGATTAATAAATCGATTGGGATTAGTGAGGCACGACTGATGGTCACCAAACCACGGTGAAGTCTTGTTTTAAAAGACCGGGAAACACT